CTTTGAGTAAGCACTTACGTGTACGATCGTAGTGAGAACCGTGATGTGTGAAGCGCGAATCAGAGAAATAGAAGAAGCGAGAGAAAAATCGAGAATTGGAATCTCTGGTATTGAGTCGCGGGACTTAGAAAATTCGGAATTTCTGTTAAGAGAGAAATTACATTGACCGATTGCACGGAATTTTTTAATCTCATGCAAACTGCATCTTGGAATCCAATTCGAAGTCGCAATCTGTTTCGGGGCTTCACAATTATTGCGTCACACTTTTCTATCTTTTATTACGCTAGCAAAAGTTCGTTTAATTTTTTTTTATTTTTTATTTTTTTTTTGATTGGATGAAGCGAGTATGTATTGGTACGTATCGATCGCGCGTGAAAAAAAAAAAACCTCGCTCGGGTCTACACCATTGCTGTCTCTCCTAGACGATTCGTGTCACGGAAATTTATGCAAAGTCACGCTCTTTTTGCAATTGCAGATCCCAATCAAGCGAATAACAATCATGTGAACAGCGTGTCGGAAGCTCTTCCCGACTCCGGGACAAAGACGTTCTACGAAAATTTGCCTTTCCACGGGATCCAAGCGCCGCCTAACAAGGTTAGTTTGATGATTATCGCATAAGAAAACGACGGTAGCGTTTTGTCAGAGAGCATGAGCTAGACTCGACTTGTAACCCTACCTACGTTATTAGCGTAATTGTGGAAATAATGACAGCAAATATATCAGTCGCGAAAGATCTGCGCCATTTGTAACATTGGGCATCAAAGCCACAGTGGAGCACATTTCAATTGTTTTTTTTTTTCTGTAAGGAAAAAGATGCTTAAAATTAAAAACAAATTTAGCTCCTTTTATATTTTTTTCTGTTTAGACGAGCGATACAGTTCAAGGACTACTTTGAAGTGAAATGACTTTAGACATTATCGTATACTAATATTTGATGCATTTTCCATCAGTTCGCCACGGAATTTCGTGAACAGCTCGTTGATTACCGGTTCCTTTCACTGACCCAAACTGACTGAAAATACGTTTGAGAGGTGATAGCGAGTGAAATGCGGCGAAGAGAGGCCGTGAGGGAAGATGGATATTAGCACAACCCTCTACGCCGTGTTCCCTCCTCTCTCTCTCTCTCTCTCTCTCAACCTCTTCCGTGGTTTCGAAGGCCTTCAGCACTTAGGAGCGCGCCTCGCTACTTAGACATATGGTTCCTTCGTATTGCGCTCACTTTGTGGAAGCTCAATCGTTGAAGTCCCTTTCGACCCTTATAACGGCGTTTCTTTCTCAGCGACTCGCTCTTTCTCTCTCTTTCTCTCTCTCTCTCTCTCTCTCTCTGTCCACCGTATTGCCGTACCCGCAATTAAGAGACCGCGTGCACAGACCACGAACGCCCACGATATTCGTCTACTTTATCGAATTACATCCACCAGGTGCATTCGTTACTACCCCTACCCCGCCTTCTCCCGGACCTCTTTTTACGAGCGCACCCACCCGCGTTCCATCGCGTTATCGCGGCTAATTGATTCACCCGAGCAGACGTTTAAATAATTAATTACACCATTTCACAACTGGGTTCTCTTACTGTTGGCATTTGAATAATTAGAATCGGAGTCGAGGTGATTTTCCTTCATCAAAAGAATCGCAATATCTTTTACGATAACGAACTTTATTACAAAATATGAAATGCGCAAATAAAATAGAATGAATAAGTGTGTGTGTGTGTGTGTCTGTGTGTGTGGCACATACGTGTTAAAGAAATCTGAATAATTCAAACGTGGATGCGGACTTTTGTGTTTTGCATTTACGCGCGGAAAAGTACCGTTGTGTGTAAACGAAGGTATCTCATTTCTTCTTCGTAATGAAAAGCTCACAAAACTACGTGAGCCACTATTATTGTTCGAGTTTCTCATACTTCAAAAACGCATTCGATTACATTGTCGGAAACTTTTACGATGCAAATTCTTCCATTTCAACCAATTCCGCGCCGCGTCGCGAGCGAGTAAATATATAGCGTTCTTCTGAATTGTCGCCTATATTCTACAAAGAATATATCCTCCTACACAACGTAAATTCGATTCGAATCGGGTTCTTTGTGCGCGCGAATCTGTTTTGATGGTAATACGATCGAATCGACAGTTATTTTCATCCGAAACATTATTCTCTCATATGTTACATACCTGACGGCAATTTTGCCGTTTCCTGTTAACGTTAAAAAATGTGATTTTATTTTTTTTCTCTAAATGTGTTTTGACATTTCTATATGCTAATACATTTATACATAATATATATGTTAAGAAAATACAAGAGAATTATAGTCAATTTGAATAGAAAGTGGTTATTAAAGTTACGCAACTGGTAATTTGCTGTCATTATTTCGCATCGATAGCGATAAATACACAATTGTCGGTNGCTTGTTGGTCTAGTTATAATGTTGCGCAATCTCTATTTTGCTGAAAATAGCCACGTCACGTGGGACATGGATTTGACGAAGCGTTTTAATTATGAAAATGATAATACTTTGCGCGGAGAAAAACGGACTGCGGATCGAAATTAAAATTTTCATCAAAATTTTCATCAACAATAACGTTATACTCTGCTGTCCTTCTTTATCTACCTTAAAAAAAAAAAAAGACAAAAAAAAAAAACACCTGTGCATCATATTAACAAATATGAATTTGTCATTTTCCTCTGAACTCTCTTTCAAATCTCATTAATTATTCAAATGAGTTTATGCACTTCACTTCGCGCTCGCTCGTCGGCTTGTCACATAATTATTTTTATATAACATGTACATTACGCACCGTTGTTGTGCGAGATAACGTTTTATCGATCGTTCTTACAGATAATTGCAATACCTATTGGTAATTTATAACGGTTATATATAATGCGGGGATAATTTACCGATGAGAAGTAAACGAACCTGTGTGTTAGTTATTAGCAAGTAAGCTGGCTTGTGCTATTAATTCTTCGCGCTGCCTCGATACATTTTTTACAAACTTGTGAAACTACTTTTATTAGCTATATAGTAAGTCTTATGGGCCAATCAATATGGCAAGAAAAAAAACGAACATCGTGGCGGGACAGGTAATTCAGTGCTGTACGAGTGTAACGAGCATTTCTATTATACTTTGACAGAAATAAATTCACTGCTTACTTCTTTTTTTTTTTTTTTCAACTTAATCGAACTCGCACTAACGTTTTCTTTAGATAAGATATAGATTGCTGCAATGAGTTTTCCAAGAATTCGTGTCTCACAACGGAATATGCAAACTCCGCACGAACGGTTTTTAAAAACAAAAACGTAATAACAATTACGTTATTATTTTCATCGGGATCGATGTGGCTGGGTTTTGTGCTGATTAATGAATAAATTGTTTGATTACACGCATACAACAGAAGCGTTACTTACGTTCTTCAGTATGAGGATAATAATTTTATCGAGAAAAAACTGGTTGTCTTTCAGTTCCTATTAATAAGTGGAAAAATTAATTCGGTAAATAACTCTCGACTGTCGATATACAGATGGGACGAAAAATATTGTGTGTAAATACGTAAATTTAGATTATTAATGCTTTTGTTATATTCGTATTAAAACCAAGCAGTAAGGAGGTAATTATTATATGCGGTACCGATAGCTTGTGATCTTTTTTTAATAAATTGCTCGTAGTTTAGACGTAGTTTATTATGTATATAAAATGCCAGAAAAGTACTTATATCTACGATCACACGCTTATAATTATTTAAATCTCTGTAATACCAACATGTTTGCAAACAAATATTCAAAATTTCATTTTTTTCAAAAATTTACAAATTCCAATTATACTGATGAACCGGTTTTATTTAGTAGAGAACACCTCTTGTTTAACATCGCAAACATTCACAAGCGCAAAGCTCATTTTGGCAAGCGCGCCAAGCGAAATTAGCCGAATCGGTTTACCTAATTCGCTAGTATTCACAATCCCCGCGCAATCAGAATCAATCAGTGAATAATTCGATGAGAGGCAATAAGCACGGTTACTGGTACGGGCATTCGATAATTAGAGCGAATGCCTAATGGGTGATTGTCCTAACGCATTGACAATACTCGCGGTATGCGCCATTTTCCAGGTGTTACGCCGTGATGTATTTCAATTTCTTGCAAAATTCAAAAACAACAAACAAAATTAATTGACTTATCAAAATACGGTTGTTGGTGCGTTTGTATATTATATTGTATTCAGGTTTGAATTGTTGCTCGATAAAGTTTCTGCTTTAATTGTTCCGAGTAATTCTTGAAATAATTTGATTTCACATGTAAAACTTCTGGTTTTGTGAATAATTGAATATTTTCGTAAAATGTCTCTTTGATTAATCTCTAACGGAACATCAATCGATCAGTTCAATCAATATCTAACNCAATAGAATGTAACGTTGTTAGAATCGCAAACCTCGGAAACAACCTCGAGTTAGCAAGTGTATAATATTAGAGCACAAGTTCAATCATCACTGGGAAACGCGGCGTAACTTTATCAGTGATCCTCGACCAAAGCGCCAATAGCAACTCAGAAATTGACATAGATTGCCTACTTACGTCCTACGGCGGAAGAGCGTCTTTTCCGGTCAATCTGCTATACGAAATTTCCCATCGCTAATTAAGTTAGCGCGATCGCCGAAACGGGGATTACCCTACGGGGATGTACACGAAGAGTTGTTTACCGCGTTGTCATCGGTCCGCGATAATCGAACGTTAGTCAGCACAGAACTATGGCCCGACCCGACGAGACACAGTCAAAGATTACTATCAGTATATATACGGTGTGTATATGCGAATGGCCGCTGGCTGCGTTTTGTTTTAGTTGGTTTCTCCTAAGTTTGCCCGAGTTTCGGCTTTGCATGGCACGTTGCATCATTCTGTCACGGCATCGCTGTGTTCCTCGCGGCCACCCAGCCGGGCTCTCAGCCTCTGCGACGGCAGTTCCGGTTACGAGTCGACCATGAGCCATCTGGGTCCTNACTACAATGTTTACAACGTGCCCAGGAGCAATTCTCCGATGCTCAAATACAACACCTTGAAGCCACGACGACGCAAGCAGAAGCACTCGCAGCAATTTTATTCGTTGCGGCTGTGCCGCAGACACGAGAGCATTCGCAGAAAGTACGAGCTNTACGCGATACCGATCTATAAGTGTCCGCACAAGACCGACAGCACGACCACGATCGCGACTATCTTACGATCGATGGAGGACGCGCCGTCCCTGACTTTGAGCCAGGCGTCGGCGTCGGTCAGCTTGTTAAGTCGATCGGCTCCGTCCACGCCGATCTTACCGCCGCTGTCACCGACGACGCCGCCGCCTCCGTCATCGCCACCGCCGTCATCGCCGCCGCCGCCACCGCCGCCGATACCGATGCCGAGGACGTCCAGAAAAACCGATCCGTCCAAACACACTTACCAAAATGTCCCACCTCCCGTTTTTCCGCCGAAAAACGCTTCGTTGCCTAAGCTTAAGGTTTGTCATCCATCGATGATCTTTGATACGAAGTCCCTACATCTGATGACGTTCGCGGACGTTGCGGTTTCTCGCTTCGCGATCGTTTCGCATTGTCGGCTCGTATTGTCAAAGTGGCATTTTACTGATTTTAATGTTGTGACACCAACGGTCATATTATAGTCGTGTAGAACTGTATTTTTTCGAAATATTAGTTATTTGTAATTTTCAATCTCCGACGAACTTTACCGGCAATCGGACAAAATGACTCATTGATGATAGATATTTACTTGTTAATTACAAGTGATTTCAAAAATTTCACACAAAAAAATTCCTTGTTCAATTATAAAATTACAAGTTACAGAGGAAAGAATATCCATAGTCTTAATTTTTTTTTATAATTTTAAAAACTAATATTTTATATTAATTAGACATGAATCCCCCAGTAAACATCGCATTAGATACAATTATGTTACTAATCTTATAATTTGCTTTAGCAGCGTATAATTTAGTCACGCTAGTCTGTGATAAGAATTAGACGTAATTTTATCTTCTTACGTAGCTCCGTAGTTGAAGAAAAAAATAGTTTAAATCTTTCTAAAAAAAAAGAAAAAAAAATCGCGCGACTTAACTGCAGATTCTCGCGAGATTTTCTGCGTCAATTACGTGAACGATTGCTTTTTGTAATTCCTTTAATTACGAGCGAACTGCGCCCGGTCGCATTAAGCTGCGATCGTTGCGAAAAAGCAACGTCCAACGAACGTAAAAGTCATTTTCGTTTCCTTTTTAAGCACCTTGAGTAACATTTAGCATCTCGCGCCTACTGCATGAGTACGTATTTACGTGTCCGTAATAGATATAATACAGCAGCTTCGAGCAAGTAGGAGGTTGAGTTGCTGGAAGCCGAGTTATAATCGGAAATCATATTTTCCCTGCTAAGCTGGATCCGGGCATCTATGTAGCGACCGCCCTTGTGCATGTTGGCCGCGCGTCAAGTAAGTTTTCCACTGTCACACACACACACGCTTAACCAATGAACTCTCTTTACTATGTTTCGAATACGGACGGATCTGAGATATTACTTCAAACGACAATATTGCAATTACGACATTCGCAATATTCGTTCGTACAATGTGTTTGTTTGCGTAAAAGTAATCTCTTCAACAAAGGATATCTTTTTCTTTTATCATCGAGCCACACAAACCTTGCGCGCGATTTTGCTGTTACAAATATGCGAGTGCAACTTGATTAAATACGTTTGACAAAATACTACACCAGGTATATTAGTATACATTAATATCGGAGCAACAGTTTTCGCCAGATATTGTTATGGAATCGTTGCACAAACGACCCGACTGTGAAAGCGCACACGTTGAAATTATATAGCACGAAATATTACCGGCATGCTCTTTTCTCTCTCTCTGTCTGTCTCTCTCTCTCTCTCTCTTATTGTCTATCGTTTAAACAATAGATTAACATAAATTGTATGTGAACTGATCGCGAACCGTACTCGTATTTACACATCAAATTTCCTCTGTGAAATCGATCTATTGATGTGGCTTTTTATGATTGCGTCGAAATAACAATACCGATACCTAATAACGTTCGTATAGAACGGAACGCAGCGATAATCGCTTTTGTACATACATAGTATATTTATTTTCTGCGAAACAGAAGAAGAAACGAAAGTAATTTCTCAACCCCGTCCGCGGTTTCTCTCTCATGCACATTCCACACCACGTCGTTTGTTTTTTTTTCTTTTTAACAAAATCTCGCGCGTTCGCGTCTAGCCTGATCCCAACTACTAACCATGCCTGTTGCAGACCGACAGCCTATTCAACTACAAAGAACACTACCAGCAGCAGCAGCATCGGCAGGAGATGCAGCAGTACAGTTACCCGTTACCGAGCAACAGTTCGAACCAACTAACACTGCCACTAACGCGAAACCTCTACCAATCCTCGATAGTTAGTCCTCTGCAGACCTCTTTCGTCCACACTAACAATATCCGGCCGTCCACCCTGATGCACCGCGAGGCCGCCAATACCGGCAATCATCCGCCCGCGGTGCATCAGGACGAGGAGCAACAACAACCGCCGCCGAGTTACGGCCAGATTAATCATGACGCGAGGCAGTCGTCGTCGCGTCGACACGCGACGAATCGGCGTAACGAGCGTAATCGAAAGTATCGGAATCGAGCGCCGAGCGATCGAAGCAAATCGAAGCAGAATCGCGCACAGAGAGGAGACAACACCGTTCCTCCTCCGCAACGACGTAACGACGGCTCTATCGAGAACTCGCCCGCGCGCGAGACCGTCTTCCGTCAGATCCCGGACTTGGGCGTACCCGAGAGGATGTACAAGATCTCGTATCCGCACTACTACGAGGACGAGGACATTGCGGAGTGTTCCACCGAATTTCCCAGATTAAACTCGACGGTGGCGCGTCAGCAGCAACAACAGCAGCCGTGGGAGCGCCAGTCGAATCGCTGCGTCGCCGATAACAACACGCCGCAATTCGCGAGTGACGCGAACGATGCGAAAATTCGCGGCAAAACGTCGAAGACGAGACTATCAACTACACTAGACGACACCCGCAAGCCGTCCGCGCCCACGATAATGCAATACGCTGAACTTCACTTCCGAGATGTCGGTCAGGAGATCGATGTCTAAAGGTTAGTGGCCCGAATTCTCTTGTGATTTCGAATCCTCTTGGCGTGATCGTCGCACCGGAGCGACGTTCGACTACCGGAGAACGCGACGCGACACGCTCCTCGCGCGACTGATCGCATTTTATCTGAGGAATCCGTGGCAATTTGTTTAAAGTCCCCCGAGACCCCGGTACTCTCCTGCGTCTTATAAAGGTATAATATACTTCCGCGCGTGCTGAGAACATGTTCTTTTACGCTATTCTTCTACGTACGTCACCTTTAAAGGTAGGGCAAAGTTGACATATATATATATATTTTCTCTTCGTTTTTCCTCTTCTGCTTATTTTCTCCTCGAGATATCACTTTCTTTCCGATGCCAATCTAACGATTGAGCTTTTGTCTTGTGTGACGTTTTCGTTTATTCAGTTTTGCGTGCGCGTTTTATTCAGTTTATTTTAATTCTTTGTGTTTGATGCTTGTTGCGTTTTTAGTTTTTAATTTATTTATATTTTCTGCTTTCGATTTAACAATCACTCCTTAAATTTTAAGGCACGATACATCAACTTTGTGCTTTTTGATGCTTGCGAAAGGCAACCTTTAACCTGCGTATTTTCGTGCGCGCGTTTATAATTTTATATATTATCTTACAAACAATGTGCGCCGTTACTTTTACCAGGTTCACAAACATTTCTTTCCAGAAACAAAACTATTTTATTGACATAACACACGTACCTAACGTGATTTTCTGGATGTTTCAAATAGGTACTACCGATTATATATATCATCGTAAGTATTTTCTAACAAAAAAAAAAAAAAAAAATCACCGGAGGAACAATTCGGAGGAGAAATCCACTGCTCTGAAGACTTAAAGCAAGAAGAGAGTAAATAGAATAGAACGGAACGTTATTATTTGTGCAGCGTGTACACTTAATCTCGNGATTAAAATCCTTTTATTGACTTTTCGTGGAAATTATTTACACGTGTGTAAAACGTGTTTTCCGGAACAAACTGCCAGTAATTTCGCTTCCAATTTGTCGAGAAACGATTTTTCTTCAATGGGTGTATCTTCAATTGGTACATCTTGCATGTTTCTGTATCTCTCTCGAACGTATATACTCGCCCGCAAGGCGGCTGATAAAAAAAAGACACAATAAAATATGAAAAACGAAAAAAAAAAACAAACAAAAACAGAACAAAAGAATTGTTGCACGCATATCAATTGTATATATCAATGTTTGTTCATAGGAGGGTCAAGTGACAAAGAGCGATACGTACATTTACTAGGACAGTTTGGCGTCCGANAAATCTTGTAGGTACATTGTACGGAGTACGTCACGTTGCTTACACGCATAACGTAAATTGAGACATTACGAATTGAGATTCTACAAATACATACAGAATGTTCATATTAGCAAGAGATGCGGAAAGAACGTCAACTTCGCTTCATTCTCTTGTGTGTAGAGTTAGCACTTCAATTTCACATTTCCTTTATAAATTAAATAATTTTCTTTACATTTATTATTTTCTTGCAATTTTCTTTACATTTTATTTTCATTATTTGTTTAATTTTGCTTACGTGTAGCCGAGTTCACATTTTATTATAACCTTGCTTTGTTAGAAAATTGTATAGAGAATTATAATTTTACTTCATTTAAATTACGTACATTTTTTACATATACTGTTTTCTTGCAAATTACTTTCAATATTTATTTATTCCTTTTTTTTCTTACTTTCGCTTATTTAGTATAAACGTATATATTATATAAACGTCGCTTGCTTCATAGAAAATTGTTAGGATGTTTGCTAAAAAATATTCTGAAATGTTGACATTACAGCTTCATTNTGTCGCATGATATTACACTTGTATGTAAATTGAGAGAGAAATATTCAATATATCTTTGCAAAATGCGAATCTTTGTCAACTGTCAATTACCATATACGACGACTGTGGTTGTCATTCTTGCCAGACCGACAAAAGCTTTCAATGAATTATGTATTACAATGTATACCAAGTTGAAACGACAGTTCCTTTCAATTTCAGAACTCTACGCATTTGATATTCAAACGTCCGGCATGTAACACGATGATGATACATCACGTTTAATTTTAACAGTTGACGGGAGCTAAGATTTTTTACAAGTTATTCAAACGTTCAATAGTTGCTTAATAATTCTCTCAACCCCTTTCAATGAGATCCGTTGTCCGACTCATGTATTCGTCCTAGACGCGTCGTTGCCTAATTGACTGACNTCGACAAACGAGAGAGCTTAATACCCGAAATGGCGCACCAGGTCATTTGTCGATCGCTTGCACAGCGAATCCGTGTGTTACGAAACTTCGCGAACAGTCCGCCGTAGAACTATTGTGTGTGTAATCGTCCGTGCAACACGATTAGAGAAAGAAAGAGAGAGAAAGAGAAAAAAAAATAGAGAGAGAGAAAGAGAACTCGGACAATATAGAAGTTGAAAAGACGTCTTAACTCTTGATTACTTGTGTGAAATCTCTCTTTGTAGACTCATTTAAATTACAACGTATTTTTCGTGAACTAAAGTTTTTTTTTTTTTTTACATACCGAGAAGAGAGATCGAAATTTTACATTAAAACATTGAAAAAAAAAAAAGCACGTCAAAGACGTCTTCTAAACACTCGTATTGTCTGAAAAACAGGCCATTTTCATCCCGAGATATTTGTCATTTTCTGTTTAACGCAGCCCTTCAAACCGGAATTCTCGGATCTCGATTACGCGGACGTGGACTACAGGTCGTACGGGCCGATTAACTATAAGGCCGCCAGTATCGCGCTTCTCCAAAATCGGCAGCAGCAGCAGCAGCAGCAGCAGCAACAGCAACAACAACAAGCGCAACAGCAGCAGCGACTTTTGGAGAGGAGGCCGCAGATGTACGGTGCTTCGGACGATAACGAGGAATTGCTTTAACCTTTTCCCTGTTTTCACCGTTTCGTTGACGTGGTTCGATAACAATCCAGCTTTCTCGGGGAGATGCAATACTGTTTCTTTATTTTTTTTTTTTTTTTTGCAAGCAAAAATATATATGTCGATAGAAACTCGCTGCAGCATGTTAAATTCGACATTTATAAGATACACGTTGCGTCGTAATGTCTTTCGTGGAATTATTACGATTCTCATGCAAAATAAATTTAACGAGTTATGAATTTTACAATTTCACGTCGTGTACCGCTTATTTAACCGAACACGATTTTTCACACATCGAGAAGCAAGAGTTTTAATTGAAACGCGCAATTGAGTGCTTTTATAGCGGATAGCCTAAAAAGTCCAATCAAAAAATTCACAACTTTAATTTAAAAATTAAAAAAAATTTACTTTGTCACTCGCTAAATGAATAGCTCCGGTTAAAAATACATTATTAAAATGAATGCGCAACAGAGAGAATAAAACACAATTTTGTTCGCTAAAACCAAAGAGCCATGAGAGAGCTTCCCTTCCTCGCATCACGAGGCAATCGAGTTGTATAATTATAAGTGCTTGTAATTACTCGCGCGATTTTGCTTCCGAAAAACACATCCGGGGATCAGTCTATCTGTACAGATTAACGTACGCTTAATATGTTCTTTATATACGTAATACGATTATTTATGTTATAAATTTTTTTTTTTTTGCTTTCTATGTTCCGTGCTATATTTTACATGCCATATCTACGTATGTGTCGTAACATATACTTTTANCTTAGACGGGACTAGATTATTTTGATTGTACATACACGTTTTTTTTAAGAAAAAAACGCGATCGAAATCGACTCGTCCCCAAGCACCTCATCGTCGTGCCACGACGACGTAAGAATTCAACAGAACGTATGAGCACGATGAGAACACATCAAAGATTACGAAAAACGAAAAAATTGTGTGCGATATTTGTAAATTTATAAATGTATTGTACCTTTATACATGGGAGTATTGATACGCGGCATACAACATTTATACAAACTGTACTACATGTGTTTTGGGATCAAATAATCGAAATAAATGTGTGTGCGAGAGAGTCGTGGCGATAGAAAACAAAATATCTGTTGTCTATCGAGTTATAAAAAAAAAGGAAAGTGGAACATATCGCAATCCGTGTTATTAATCCCCTATTTATCCGTTATATACATATATATATATATATTCTGTATCATTGTTATACACGTAATTATTGGAAGGCTGCGCGCTAGAAAGTATATACGATTCTGTTGGGACATTACTCTCTCGTATATCTTCTTACATGCGTTTGTAAATTTGTAAGTTAAGAGAATAATCTAACGATAATTGAGTTATATTATATATGTACAAATCTCGACACAAAGTCGCGCGGATTAAAATCGCGAACATAGTTCAGTGGCTTAAACCTCTGTCTCGCGAGTTTTTCTTGTAAATAATAATAATAATAATAATGGGTCATTATACACAACTTTTAATTAACTGATATCGTTAGCGCTCATTGATCGCGAATCGCGATCGTGGGATAACGATAACACATTTTACCGAAAATATTGATTTGATTAATTGTTCGATTGTTTTGTGAAAAATGTTTGAATATTTTACATACATGTTAGAATTTACATAAAAAAAAGANAAAAAAAAAAAAGCACGTCAAAGACGTCTTCTAAACACTCGTATTGTCTGAAAAACAGGCCATTTTCATCCCGAGATATTTGTCATTTTCTGTTTAACGCAGCCCTTCAAACCGGAATTCTCGGATCTCGATTACGCGGACGTGGACTACAGGTCGTACGGGCCGATTAACTATAAGGCCGCCAGTATCGCGCTTCTCCAAAATCGGCAGCAGCAGCAGCAGCAGCAGCAGCAACAGCAACAACAACAAGCGCAACAGCAGCAGCGACTTTTGGAGAGGAGGCCGCAGATGTACGGTGCTTCGGACGATAACGAGGAATTGCTTTAACCTTTTCCCTGTTTTCACCGTTTCGTTGACGTGGTTCGATAACAATCCAGCTTTCTCGGGGAGATGCAATACTGTTTCTTTATTTTTTTTTTTTTTTTTGCAAGCAAAAATATATATGTCGATAGAAACTCGCTGCAGCATGTTAAATTCGACATTTATAAGATACACGTTGTGTCGTAATATCTTTCGTGGAATTATTACGATTCTCATGCAAAATAAATTTAACGAGTTATGAATTTTACAATTTCACGTCGTGTACCGCTTATTTAACCGAACACGATTTTTNACACATCGAGAAGCAAGAGTTTTAATTGAAACGCGCAATTGAGTGCTTTTATAGCGGATAGCCTAAAAAGTCCAATCAAAAAATTCACAACTTTAATTTAAAAATTAAAAAAAATTTACTTTGTCACTCGCTAAATGAATAGCTCCGGTTAAAAATACATTATTAAAATGAATGCGCAACAGAGAGAATAAAACACAATTTTGTTTGCTAAAACTAAAGAGCCATGAGAGAGCTTCCCTTCCTCGCATCACGAGGCAATCGAGTTGTATAATTATAAGTGCTTGTAATTACTCGCGCGATTTTGCTTCCGAAAAACACATCCGGGGATCAGTCTATCTGTACAGATTAACGTACGCTTAATATGTTCTTTATATACGTAATACGATTATTTATGTTATAAATTTTTTTTTTTTTGCTTTCTATGTTCCGTGCTATATTTTACATGCCATATCTACGTATGTGTCGTAACATATACTTTTATCTTAGACGGGACTAGATTATTTTGATTGTACATACACGTTTTTTTTAAGAAAAAAACGCGATCGAAATCGACTCGTCCCCAAGCACCTCATCGTCGTGCCACGACGACGTAAGAATTCAACAGAACGTATGAGCACGATGAGAACACATCAAAGATTACGAAAAACGAAAAAATTGTGTGCGATATTTGTAAATTTATAAATGTATTGTACCTTTATACATGGGAGTATTGATACGCGGCATACAACATTTATACAAACTGTACTACATGTGTTTTGGGATCAAATAATCGAAATAAATGTGTGTGCGAGAGAGTCGTGGCGATAGAAAACAAAATATCTGTTGTCTATCGAGTTATAAAAAAAAAGGAAAGTGGAACATATCGCAATCCGTGTTATTAATCCCCTATTTATCCGTTATATACATATATATATATATATTCTGTATCATTGTTATACACGTAATTATTGGAAGGCTGCGCGCTAGAAAGTATATACGATTCTGTTGGGACATTACTCTCTCGTATATCTTCCTACATGCGTTTGTAAATTTGTAAGTTAGGAGAATGATCTAACGATAATTGAGTTATATTATATATGTACAAATCTCGACACAAAGTCGCGCGGACTAAAATCGCGAACATAGTTCAGTAGCTTAAGCCTCTATCTCGCGAGTTTTTCTTGTAAATAATAATAATAATAATAATAATAATAATAATAATAATAATAATAATAATAATAATAAATGGGTCATTATACAACTGTTAATTAACTGATATCGTTAGCGCTCATTGATCGCGAATCGCGATCGTGGGATAACGATAACACATTTTACCGAAAATATTGATTTGATTAATTGTTCGATTGTTTTGTGAAAAATGTTTGAATATTTTACATACATGTTAGAATTTACATAAAAAAAAGAGAAATGTGTACATTAGACGTGCCCGTTAGATAACGCTGTAATAAAATTATAGCCTGNAAAAAGACTCGATCGCGTCTAAAAAGCGCGACTACGATTAATAATAATTTATACTGTTTAACGCGTGAACGATAAACTAGATAGCACAGAAGACCGGCGCTTCCACGATGATACCACTCTATCTTATCTTTTTATTTACGCATTCTCAGTCTATTTTCTCTCTTTATTTTTTTGGGGTTTTAATTATACATGTATGTCGCTCNATTCGATCGCGGCAAAAATTTGCGATTCAAAACCAAATTTTATCGNAAATTGAGAGAAAGATAATTTATATATCGTCGTATAATTTATTCACGAAAAAAAGGTCGATTTCAAATTTATCGAGAATATACAAATGAAACACACACCTTGAAACGCGTGTTAAGTCCTCGATACGTCTNGATGCATCATGTAGTTTTACAGGATGTGCCGTGCGAACTTAAACTCAATTCGAGTTCAACTTTGTCGAGCAAACGTACAAGATAAGAGATAATAATCGTGCTAATTATTTGTTAAGATTTAATTAGTTTTTTTTTTTTTTTTGTAAGAAACAAACACGTGTTCATCAACGTGTCATCGTGAATTATCTCTGGTTCTACCCGTTAAAAGAAAAGAAAACATATTTTTCTATTTTTATTACGTTTTTGAAAGCAACGCGTATACACACACACACACACACACAAAAAGATAGAATTTAATTCTGAAATAATACGCATATTCGTACGATATGAATTGGACGAAACGTATCTTCATCAGAGAAAATTAGACTTTATAAAGCCGGATGGGATTCAAATGAATGAAATAATAGAAGACCGGAGAGTAGATATCTCCTTTATCGATATTCAATTATTATGTGAAATATTTATTCAGNATTCGGATATCCGATATATTAACAATGGTTTATTATCGTCATTGAAAANATGCAAATAATATGTGCGCGACCGAGCACCACACATTTTATTAAAAAGAAAAAAAAAAGAAAAAAAAAAATTAAATCTGCCTCAATGCGGCTGATATTGATGCAATACTGTCAATATCGGTCTGCTCACCTTACAAAAGGATGTGCGCGTTCTCGTAATTATCGATATGGCTCTCTTTATCAAAGCGCATTGCATTGATAATTTTGTAGTTATGACCGCATTTGAATTACCTAATATTTGAAATGAGTTTTGATAATATTTCAAAATATTTCCTTTCACCATCAGAATCGTTATACACAATTAACAATTAATTAATTAATTAATTAATTAATTAATTACTCGTTGATTTTCTATAGACATTTCTGTACAAAAATACCGTGTTTATATATAAAACATATGAAAACAAAATTTTCGTAGAGTGTGAAAAGACTCTTGAAAATTGTTGGAATTAAAGTGTAAGCGTCTCGATAAACGTCCGGCCGATGACGACATATTATTATATTCGAAACTAGCCAACAAACACATACATATGTAATAAGGATAATCTGTTATGAATGTATCTGTGTAATATAACTTTCTCATCACCCCCGTGAACTGTTGCTCGGTGAATTGAAACAGTGTTTAAAGCGCACTCTCTCTATGTATATATATGTGTATATTTAGAGCGACACACCCGCAAATTACCATCAAAAATCACATTAAAAAACTGTAACGCAGTAACATACAATAACAATCGAATAACCGATAAAATGTGTGTAGATTTTAATGAAACATTTATAAAACTCCGAACGCGCGCGATTATTTCCTTCAATTCCGCGAGAATAGCAATTGATTATTTGTAATATATTTGCGCACACATACAAGTAATTGGAAAAAAGTAATTGTGCGTAAAACGAAAAAGGTATAAGTAATCGTGACAATTTGTTAAGTGAAAATATGTATTAGATGTACGCGCGAGGAACTCGGTTATATACGGGAGCGGTGAAGCACACGAATNACATATTTTTACAATGACAATTGTACGTTTCTATATGTACGACGTTTCCTTTTGACTTACAACAAAATGTTTCTTTAATACGCATCGTTGTGTAAAAATAATTAAACTAATATAACAGTGCATTTAAAAGAAAATAAAAAGATTAACGAATGAGAAAAAGGTACATTAGAGATGTTTAATTTTGTAATAAAAGCTATAGAGTTATGTAAGTTTAAGAAAAAATTGTATTTGCGTCGNCTTTATTGTTAACGTGTAACGCGTCCAATAAAATTCTGTTATACGGAACGTTTCACTCTTTTTTTTTTTTTATCGCCCTGGAACGAAGCAAAAGAGAAAAGTGCATAAAACGACTATATATGTTTTTGACATATTTTTTTAATATTAAAATTAGTTGTTTTATTTCACTTACAACAAATTGCGCGTCGCAGACTATATAGTTATATAATATAATTTATACACAAGTTTCTTATTGTTTATTTTTAAATAAACACACATGTTAAGTTCTGAGAAAGATTTGTTTCANTGATATAAATCTAGATCCGAACATAAAGAGAATGTCGCATGGATTTTTATATCTCTACCAGTTAAGCCGACCGTGAGCGACGTTCTCAATTTTATATNNGAATCAACACGTTGGAAAAATGCCGAATTGAATTTTCCGATATCACGAAATNCTGACGTGTGAAAATTCTCACGTCGATAGAAAACGTATTGCGTATTACTTGTGCACATCTATTCTCCGATCAAACCTATGGTAGTATCGATATCGCAATATCGGAGAGTCCTCCAACCTCCCCCCCTCCCTTCCCTGTTACTCTAAGGCATAAAGTTCAATTTAGTAACTTCACAATATATGATTACGAAATAAACTATATATTCATCCACACCCTCTCTCTTCTGATGCGGTACGTTTTCGATCGAAAACCAAATATTATGATATCCTCGTAATTCTCGCGTGCACGCGCGCGCAATAAATAAATTCCCAAGCGAAATATGTACTGTATCACAATTAAGCGCGTGTAGCAAGCCGTGCGCACTTTGCAGCAAGTAATATTTTAGTTATGGCAGTAATTGACTCTCTATGGAGCTATTTTCTGAATGCATCGATACGATAGGGGGAGTTCCCCTATGGTGCCGGACGGCACCTAATACCGGACATAGCTATATGTCTGCGACATTTGAAACGTTGCCGTTATTTCGCGTAACCCGTAGAAGGGATGGAACAAGCAACAATTAGGTTTTGACACGTACCAGTCGNGCGTGAACAGCTAAGGAGATCGATTGATTGTCGGCATTTGACGGGAAGCCGGTACGTCGCATAAATTATGAAGTATTATCTCTACTAATTTTCCTGGCCAAAAGACGCGTGCGTGAGTTGCGTTATCATATCTTTTGGTCAAGTTTTTTTAATTACCTTTGTATTTTGTGNACTTTACAGTGCACTGGTTTTTACAAAAAAAAAGAAATTGTTTTTAACGCGTTTGCTGTGCCCTAATTTCGGACAGAACGTTTTCCCCTGTTACAGAACAGTACGAATCTTGTGCGTGTTTCTTTACAGTAGTGTTTATTATTTTCAGAGGTTAAAANATGCATCTAAGCAACATGAATATTAAGAAAAAATGTTCAAAGAGGCAAACCAGAAGACAGTCTGTGTAGTTTGTTTGGAAAACAACGAATGAAGCTGGATTCAGTGTTCAGGATGTCAAAAATGGGCACACGAGACGCCGACATCCCCAAATGTTCTCTGACTACTATATATATGTGATTACTGCAAATTATATTAAAACTGTTCTGAGTTACGTTAGTAACTCTTNCAGTGTTCGGTACCAGGTGCCACTTAATGATCTTGTAAAATCATATACCAAAGTTTAACGTTAAAGTAAGTTAACTATTTTATTGGTGATTATTTTGTTGCTTTATTTTTGATTCCTAATATGGAGGTTATAAATAACGCAAAATAAAAAGAGTAAAATATTACTTCGTTCCTTTTATTTAAGAAAAATCTTGAGCGTCCGGCACTAGGGGAATTCCCCCTGTATGTATTTTATACGTTGAAGTGTGTGCAAGTGAAACATAATGAGAGAGAAAGACAGAGATACCTTTAATATCTCTTATATTAATATTATTTTTATTGTACACATGACTGAGACAATGTAATGTGAATATATATAACAAATTAATCAAGTTAAATATTATTAGTAATTATTACTATTTGAAACAAAAATTGTTGCTATATAAAATGCTGATAAGAACTAAATATCACGAGATAAAGTAAGTAAGTCCTTTTTGAGACTTTAGGCTAATAAAATCATTCTATTTGATCATGAATGTGAGATAAGGTAAAATTACCAAGTGAGATTAAGTTGTGCGTTCGAGTTAGTAATGTCACCGACATACAGTTACACTTTGTCTCAATTGTGAACAACAACTTATACTGCCGTGTCATCTGTGTAATCGACTCATGAAACAGGAAAAAAAATAAAATATAACTTTGTGGAAGTCAAGATTCGACAAGGAAATTTCGGGTTTTTATGCGGCCGTAAACCGTTTCGCACATACAATCTACAGACATTATTGCACAAATGTCGGGAATGACAATTTGAATATTTCTCGCGAACAAACAATTTAAAAACTCTAGTATTTGCGTATTTTTCGTCGTAAGTTAAAAATCGTGCAATTTTCGTAATTCAAGCGACTGGCATCGTGAGCGCACGTCGCGAAAACGCGTGTCGCAAAAGCGTCGAGAAATGGCAACGTTAGAAGATAAAAGTCTTAGAGAAGTAATCGCTGTAAAAAATTCGACAAAAATAATGAAAAAAATCGAGCAATCGGACACCGAGCCGTTAAAAATAAAAACTTACAAAAAAAGATGGCTAATACTCGCTATTTTCATGATTTATACCTCATCAAGTACTTGTCAGTGGATAGAATACTCGATTATAACTAACATAGTTACAAGGTATTGTAATTTTGTTTTAAACTTTAAAAACATTCGGATGCATAAATACACACAAAGTGTCTTTCTTCGTATATTATTCAGATATTACCAAGTGTCTTCGTTAATGGTTGACTGGACCTCAATGTCATTTATGATATGTTACGTGATATTCATATTCCCAGCGACATATGTGGCCGACAGATACAGTCTACGCTGTACCGCTATCTTGGCAACCGGCATGACCTGCTTGGGTTCCTGGATAAAAACTTTTTCTGTTAGTTTTAATCATTTTAAAAATTCTTGATGTTTTTTATTTCTTTTTTTTTTTTTAATTTGCGCGCTTTCCTTATTCTTTGTATCATCTTCTTACCTGTTGTTCTAATTATTTGATTGTGCTCAGTCATATATTTTCTCAATGATAATTAAAGCTTTACGCTTATTAGACTTTAATATTACCGTCGCCGGGACGTTTGGCCGCGCAATGGTTTCCCGCCAGCGAACTATCGACTGCCACGTCTCTGGGTATTTTTGGCATACAATTAGGAGTGGCACTGGGCTTTCTCCTGACACCGGTAATAGTGAAAAATCACGAAAACTTGGACGAAGTCGGCAGCGATCTGTCACGTTTATGTTGGATCGTTGCAATCGTCAGCACAGTTGGATTTCTTCTAGTGCTTCTATGTAAGTTTATAAAAACGTAATATACAAAAAGTTTTATTACTAAACAATATTTACAATATATTTATATTAACAAAGTGGTTTTAATATATAATACGTAATTTTTCAACATCAGAACAACGGAACTCGTCAAAAAGACGGATTTCAAGAAATCCGTCAGAATTCCGCAAGAAATGCAAATCTGCGAGAAATATTCTGAGTAGTTTTGTTTTAACAAGAAAAAAATAAATAAAATAACAAAATTCTTTGTAGCTGAAAGCTTTTTTATTGATTATTTATTTAAAAACAAAAAAGCAAATAAATGTTTTTTTCCAAAACATCCGTTAAATTAATAAATATTTTTGAAAATATAAAATGAAAATAAAAACAATAACAAATAAATGTTTGTTTTTTTTTTTTAAATATTCGTTAAATTAGCGAATGTAGCAAAATTAAGTGCACACTCGAGTCTGGTTGTTCCAATGAAATGTGGTCTTAATCAAATTTTCAACGTGTGGCTAGTTTCTGTTTCGATACAGTTAACAATTCACTTTAATTCGAAACTTTTTCCTGATAATGGACTAATTAATTAAAGATCGTTTCGGTTCTCTAAAAAAAAAAAGGTTATCGCTGCTTTAATCTTCTCAATGTACATTTTGCTCCAGTATTTCAGAACGAACCAAAATTACCGCCGAGCGAAATGCGCGCGCTGCAAAAACTAAATCAGAGAAAGAAAGGTGAGGAATTTGTCGGGCCAATTAAAAAGCTCTGCAAAAACAAAAACTTTATCATTCTCTGCAATTCCTACGGTCTGAACATCGGCATGTTGAATGTCCTCGCAACGTTGCTGAATCAAATATTCCTCGCGCATTTCGAGGTGAGTTTAGTGAATTTTGAACACAACGTGGAAAATCAAATATAAAACGAAGGAAATTGGAGCAAATATTTGCGAATTCACGTTACCTAATACAAAGAATATTTTTATATATTTCTTTAACACACATATATTCACACATGGAACAAATTTTTGCACACGTGTGTGTTTCTGTGTGTGTAGAACGGCGAAGAGGACGCGGGTAGAATTGGCTTGGCTTTAATTCTCACTGGCATGGCCGGTTCCGTTACTTTCGGCATCGTCCTTGACAAAACGCACAAGTTCAAGTAAGAAAGAGATATTTGCAATCACAGTTTCAGAGGTATAATTCGAATTTCTCAAATTCGATTGCTTGTCGTGAAAAAATTCACGCAACTTGTTGAGAAGTGAAAATTTACATTTTTTACAGAGAAACCGCGGTGGCTGTATACTTTTTCTCATTATGCGGTCAGATATTATTCGCGGTGTTCACTTGTTTCGCCATTAAATGGATGGTATACGTGTCGGCGATCTTTCTAGGGTAACGTACATGTTACACTTTCGCCTGTTTTTTTTAAAAAGTTGTAACAATTTCTTGTGCGAGTAGCGCGTATTTTGCATTTGTTTTTACAGATTCTTCATGTCGGGATATTTGTCGTTGGGATACGATTTGTGCACCGAATACACGTATCCGGAATCGGAGAACATATCTGCTGGAATTCTTAACATAACGAACAACGCTTACGGCGTCATATTTACCGTAGCAATGGGATTGTTATTACAAGCTTATGGCGATATTCCGGTGCACATAAGCATATTCGTGTTTCTATTAATCGGTTTTATCTTAACCATATTGACGGAAGATGAACAAAAACGACAGGATGCGAGAAGACAAATTCAGTACGAAGGAGTTGCAAAGACTGAAAAAGACAATATCGACGACGTTCAAGAAATCAAGCCACGATCAATTAACTCGTAACGTTAATTAATGAGTGACACGTCAAATTTTTGGTGCGTTTTAATAAATAATAATTTTTATGTGGACATTTCAAAAAATGATAAAAAAAAAAAACAAATGCGAATATAAAAGCCATATATAATATGCCAATGTAAATTGGTAAACAAATATATTTTAGACGCACAATGTTCAAATGTAGTACATTTTTAAAACAATATATATTTAAAAAACAACCGAAAAAAAAGATTGCAAAATATAAAACTAAAAAATTATATGCAATATTGTGAAAATGTATTGCAAGCCGAAAGGCCATCAATAAATAAACTTGCAGAAAATAAATAATATTCTGTCCCTTCTATATCAAATCCTCTTTGTGTATAGAAAAATGCTGCTTTGCAGATTTCAAGCTTTGATTTTAAATTTGGAAAGCAATTTTAGCGATTGCTCTTTTCTTAAATTGCGTAACAAGAGAGAGAGAGAGAGAGAGAGAGAGAGAGAGGAAGAGAAAATTTAACACGGAGACGCGAAAATTTTGCCATATTGATTCCATTTGGAATCGCATTGATGAAAGCAAGACCGCCATTTTGAATGTCTGCACAAAACTTTTACCGACAAGAGGTGGTGGGACACACACGCCTCATCTCTCGCACCNGTTTTGTTTTTAGATAACAGACAAAGCCATGGAAATGAACGCCGCCGCATAATACGCTGCATTTGACGCGTGACATGACGAACGCGTCTGGCACTTATTACTCAACCGGAATACTTGATATACTCAATCAGAGAACAAAAGTTCTCTTGACGCGCGGACTATTATATCGCATGCTTTCGATCAATCTGACACTCGTGCCGTCTGTCTGCGACAGCGTTGTTATCTCGGCTTCTCTCTCTCTCTCTCTCTCTCTCTCTCTCTCTCTCTCTCTCTCTCTCTCTCTCTCTTTCTCTCTCTTTCTTTCTCTTTCTCTACGTGCGATAGCAAGCCGTGTGAGCGCAGCCGCCTTTTCTGTTTATCTTTCTCGTCGCGCATCAGTTTGACGAAAGAATTTTTCAAGTANGGAATCGCTCTCTTATTTGCCAGACGTTTACACACGCACACTCGAAAATTCGTGTGTATAGACATTTCTCACAAAGTGAAGAAGACTAATANAAAATTTCCTTTCTCAACCAAAAAAAAACACATGTAAAATAGAGGAAACAGTTTTTAATATCGAAATATTATCAATAAATGTTTTTTTTTTCCGGCGTATTCGATCTGAGACATTTCATACCCCGATATATTGCAATAAATTCAAAATTACTTTTTGCTAACCGTAAATCGTAAATAAACGACAATCGATAACAGGTGGCTGTCGGCAAGTTCTTAAACGTAAACATTTAGAATTCTAATTAGCATTGTCACTCAAACTTCACTGTCAATCTAGCGATTAGTTCGCGCACCACGTTTCCGGGTCGTCTCGGTTGAATTCGTATACGTAGGCAAGCAACGTGCGCCGATTTTGCGAATTCATAGTGTATGCATTACGGTTGCGCAAACGATCTCAGATTCCGAACACGTCCTTAATTCACGTAAGCTATTACAACAGTTGCTACACTACAATAGATGTGTTGTGTGTTACCTCCACGCTTAAAACATCAAGCGAATGAAAAGAATTGATCCTGACCCTTGATCAGAGTATATATACGCAAGCGTATTTTTCATTGTTATTTTACAAAATCGTTTTTATTTCCGGTTTCGCGCACATATATATTACTCAATCAGTTCAACATCCCGTTCCCAAGATTCTCGTTCTTCGGTGGTTTAACTTTTGGAACTCCGAGAGTACTTGTAGAAGGTGTAATAATTTATATCCCCCATATCTCTCTATGGCAAACTTGAGCATATCGTTCTTATTTGAATATTTCCAACCAGTTATATAAATTCAACGAGAAATTTGTTATTCAAATCGTTAATTTGCTCGTGCGCAAGAAGCGCGCAGTATTCTGTTCGTGACGTAACGTTGTATTTTGTTATTCGTTATTATGAAAAATAAAGTAAACACAAATTAAACAGTCGATAATTGTATTTGATTCGATTTGAGCTGTGCAATTTGTTTCTGTCACAAAAAACGCAATCGATCGAATTATATCTGTGTTCGATGTAACACCGACACGTGTCTACAAAAATGTGTGCGTTCCTGTTCGCCATAATAAACAGTCNGAAAACGCAATATATGGGAGTAACATCGTATTACGAAATAGCAACAAAAATGAAATCGTTTTCGGGTCTTCGCTTCTTTCGTATTCACGGAGCTTTTTAGGTTTACCCGATCTCATCACTTCGCATATAAAAACGAAACCGACGGTCGAACGAAGACCAGTCCAAAATTTCTCCGTGCGCACCTGACACTGTGATGTTAACGTCGTCAAAAATGAAGAAAACGGTAAAAATAACACTCCGGTCGTTCTTTGTGATTAAATAAAAAAAAATTATAAAATGCGATAAAAATGTGATAGATTTTTTTTGGGATAAAACAATACAACGCAAGAATAGTGCACAAAATCCAAAATGTGAAAAATTATCCACTCGCGCGTTAGATCTTTTAGATTCTCCTGAGTTTAAAAGATTTTTTTTTTTTTTTAATATATAAGTGTGTTGAAATAAAAACACATCTTATAAAATATTTATCCACTGGTGCTTACAAATATTTATAACACGCAGATAGATTTTAAGGAATTAATGCGCGAACAAAGGAAATATACACATCCGGGTTTTTATTTTTTCAAAACGTGTACGATTCCCCCGGACCGTTCGAACACAAGCGCGCGATCTCTCTGCCCATAGTTTATCGATTTTACGTATGTATATTTTTTTGCAGCTTATCCTCGTTCTCTTTTATACCGGACTGGCGGCTACGTCAGATTTATCGGGGTATCAGCCCAGAGGATGGCGTCCTAATGGTCCGCGCTTTAATCCCAATAATAATCGATTGCATGCGTATTACGGTGCTCCTGGACTACAAAGCTACGAACCCGCTAATACCGCGACTACTCGTGACCCGTTATCCACTTCCACAACCACAGTCACGACTACACCACGAACTGCCGTAACCGTAAAAACCACAACAGCCCGTAGCAGAGAACCGACGACTGAGCCCAACGAACAGCCCGAAGATTTCGATTCGAATCCGGCTCTGGCTATTGCGAATTCCTTCGCATTCAATCGACCCATATACGTCTATAATACATTTCCGTTCCTACCTGCTCAGATCATTGCGTAATGATGCAACGTGTAAAATTTAAATTAGAAAGAGTATAGCATCCGTATAAACGATAAAAAAAAAGACGCATTTATATTTTGTAATTAGAAATAAAGAAAAAATCGTTGAAATATAAAACTTATTTGATACGTGAAAACCACAGATGTGTCCCAAAAGATAAATAATAATAAGAAAGTTCTAAACACACACACAATATCTCATTAAATCTTGATCATGTAGTACACTTTATATTAATAAACAAAGTTTATAGTTTTTGGCAGTACTGGTGTAACAATATTCCACGATTTCCCATCAAACAAGAATCCATTAATTAATTATTAGACGGCTATGATTGATTATAGAACAAATTATGCAAAACTAATTATGTTAACTGTAGATAAGAAAACATATTTTCGAGCTGATCTTACCAATGGCGGATATTGCACTTGATCAACAGCCGAGAGCGGCATGTACTTTAGCAAGTTACCGACAAAGTCTTACTCTACGAAGCTAAGCGCATAAACTGCAAAAGTGATGGTATCTCTCGCAAAACACGCAGTTTCAATGTTAAATATTTAAATAATTAATCCATTTTGTGTTTGCATTATATTTCGAAAAGAATTCTATTTCTCGCATACGAAATGTACTTGATCGTAGTTTACTTTTGTCGCGGCTTGGTTCAATCAGCGATCTGTAAACAGCAGTTTCACATTTTGGAAGTCGGAAACTACTTCCTACTTGCGTTGCAGCTCGCTTTTCTCACGGTGACTGATCGCTAAAATCTTCAGCGAACGTCTCTCTCTTTCTCAGGATGTTTGTCTTGTGTAAAACCAAGATAATGTAGTCCAACCGTATCAAATTTCGTGCGAATGGAGAAAGTGTTAAACTTTTTTTTTTTTTCACAACTATGTGTTTTACCGCTTTCGAAGGTGCATGCTGGACGACGAAGTCAATTATTGGAAAGAATCCAGTTAGTTCTCGTTATATTCGCGGTTTTATCTCTTCTTGATTTGTTCTACATAATTTCGGCAAAACCTCTATTTTATCTTTACCTAAGTTTCTTTTTGCACGATTCGTGAAAGTTCTTTGGTTTAACTGAGAAAAAGTTCTTCAAAAAATAAAAACACATATCTCTCATGTCTCTCTGGTAATCTTCCTTTTATTTCGCTGCATTTCAATCGTCGATTGCAAATATCGCGCCAAGAAAAATTCGGATTCGCATATCTCTTGTCTGAGCGATCGTGACTGTTTCGGAAAACTAAAACGGTAATTTCGCGACGTCGGTTCTATCTCTCGAGAGCTCGTCGAAACGAAGAAAGTCCCGGAGTGACACGCTTCGCGGCACAGAACGCGGAAAGATGTGGAGGACAATCGCCGATTCGAACCGAGCAAAGCGCAGCTGGCGAAACGAACGATTCACAGCTGACTGAACGAAGTAAATCGCCGCGCACTCGTTTTGCTGAGATATTCTCTCTCGACGGATATCCTCGTACATCTTCGCACCTTTGTATTCTTCTTTTTATTTCCTCGTTAATCGAGCGTTAATGCGCTCCCTCTCTCCCTCGAGCGCTTTCCTCCTCCCTGCTTTCATCTTTTACGTGACTACCGCGCTTTGTAAATTGAGAGTGCGGGCGCGATCGTTAATTAAAATAGCGAATTAACGTATATATCGAAGTTTCTAATGCAGAAATCGAAGAAGAAAGAGAGAGAGAGAGAGAGAGATTGGGTGAAACTGCGGCCTGCTGTGGGCCGGACGGATCCAATCGAGAGTGACTGAATCGCTGAACGGTCGGATTTGCACGCTTCGCAGACCAGGGCTCGTTGTACGCGTTTTTCACCCTACCTTGCCTTTCAGTTAGCTAGAAAATATAAATTAGGCCATGCGGTTCGTGTCGCCAGTCAGTTTGACGAAAGACCTCGATCGATGACGATGAGAACGCGGTGATTTGCGATTGTAAATCGTGAGAAAGTATTTTTTTTGTTTTTGTTTTGTTTTGTTTTGTTTTGTTTTGTTCGTCACGACTTAAATGCGAACGTTTCGACGTGTTTTCTGTCGTTACGCGGAAAAACGCAATGAATTTTTAATATGTGTTTTTAAAATTCAATGTTTCGACACTCGTCGCGATACGATCATTTGTTCACTGAGCGTGCCGCGACTTAATGACCGTCGCTTTGCGTATAGAGTAATAAATTTTCTCAATATAGTGTTCGCAAATAGTGCTATGAAGCAAAGAACAATTTAAAGAAATGGAGCAACAACGAAAAGCTCGCAACCTAATTGTCGTACTTCTTCTAACGATTGCTACGTCATCGTCGAATCAGAATCATTATACGTACACCGCGATCGATGTCGGTTCCACCAGCATTAATCCGATCGTCGATTATACTTCGTTGCGATCTGCAAACACCACAACATCGATCAATCAAGACTCAACAACCTACTTACCGGATTCAACCAAAACGGACGAGATACTTGATTCTTCGGAAACAAGAGGTTTAAGTCACTACGCGCAACCGTCCTACAGCCACAACGAATACAACGAGGAAGACGATAATTCCGACGAGGATTTCACGCACCACGTGATACCGTATTCGGTGCACGAAGACGAGAGAGATGTGTCAACTCGTCCGAAATACGTAGCTCCGGGAAATTGGGCGACGCCACCGCCCGAAAAAAATGTTCCCTTAGACTTTGTGCCGGTGAAGTTGCACGCGCAGGTACGCGGAACTCATACCGTGAAGAGATTGCCGCGGCGAGAAGCGATCGAGAGCGCGGAGACGGACGAGGAGAAGCTCAACGCGCACAGACTGAGAGAAGTCGTTACCAATTCAAAGATCAACACGGTCTACACCGAGGAGGGTTATGAAGACTCGGCGTACGATCATGCGGGACACGTCAGAGATGCCGACTTCCACGAGGGATACGCGCGCAAGCTTCACGATCGGCAGAAGAGCGGTCGCAATTCGTCGAGCGGCAAACACAGAACTGGCAAGAACNNTAACTTGGTGCCTGACGAATTCAAGAATTACGATNAAGATTATCAGGATCATGTGGAAGAGAATAGGAAGTATGANAATAGCAAGAACAATCTGATAGACGGAAACGTCTGGGAAGGATCCGAGATAGATCCTAAATTGGTTGTCGAAACCGGCATCGAGAAACTGGAAGAGGACGCCGAGAAAGAGGCCGAAGAGAGCGAAAAAAATTCAAAAGTTTATCAAAATGATCAAGAATCGAAGCTTCACAACGACATCGAAGTCGACAGCTCGGAATCCGAAGATTCTGAGGACGATTTGAAAGATGAAGAGAACAAACCCGCTAAGACGAAGAAGAAGAAAGTTGACACTCTGACCAAAGAGGAGAAAAAGTTACGTAAGTCGGATCAAAAGAAGAAGCTCTATGATGAAAACGACGAAACAACGGTAGATCCGTCCGATGAGATAAAAACAAATTCAACCGACGTCGAAGTATCCGCGAATCCTCAGAATTTTTTAACGAATTCCTCAATCTCGCAAGTGAGATATTCAACCGACGGAACTTCGCATTCCGACGCTCCGATCGACGAACCAACGACGATCAGTTACAGTCAGCTCTTCTGGGACTACTTCAAAACGAAGAACAACCCATTGAGCAGCGATACGTCTTCTTTTTTTTCGAACTCAACCATGAATCCACAACCGGAAGAAGAACGAACGCCGATCGCGGTAGCGACCATTGACGGTCACGGTCCGTATCTTTTCGTCACTACGGAAGAAACCACGAGGACGCCATCGACTTTCCTCAATTCGCGCACGTTCTATCCGGAACTATTCTCCGACAACGTGAATTCGTTCGGTTCGAATTCGAATCACAATCGTCATCTTCTCGAGCACAGGGACGATGTGGATTACTTAACTAACGTATTCGCCACTACCACGGACGCAACTTTACCGAACAAAACATCTAATTTAATTCGATCTTCGTCCTCGAGTTCTGAAAATATAGAACATTTATCTTCGACGAGTATTCTTGACAACGCGACGTCTACCAGCACTCCGACCGTGATAACACTCAACATCACCAAAGAAGCTTTGTCAAAACTCGATGATTACAGAGAAAATCCTTTTCTCGGTCCTATTCTGGATAACAGCAACATTCCATATTTCAATAGTAATTTGTCTAAAAATAATACCAATCTCAAATACAAAGTTTTGGTGAGACCAGAACCGAAGAAATCCGCGAAATCTGTTGGCGATCAGTCATCGTCATCACGTCAACACGCTTCGTCACCGCTCGTCTCGCAACAAGAAGACGAGCACAAGAGAAACCGCGACGAGTTGAGCGCCAAGTACAACAAGATGTTGAACTACATTAAAAACAAACAAACTCTCCGTTCTTCTCCGGAAAAAAAGAAAGTCGCTTATCCAGATTTCAATCTCATAAGACCGCCGACTTCTCAGCGAATCGCTTATTCGATTTTCCCGACAAATCGTCCCACGATAACGAATCGTCCGAGCGTGTCCGTCGAAAGCGAATCGCTTCGGGAAGCTAAGAAAGGTTTGTCGCAAGATCAACAGCATCGTTATCAAGCAATTAAATCAAACCCGTATCGTTTCGATCCCTTTATCTACGTCCAGCCGGTGTACCACAAGAATCCGCTTCCTGCCACAAAACTGTTGCCGCCACCGCTGCCGTCTATCGCGGACACTTACGGCAATTATCACAATAACAGACAGAACGGTCATCATTCTCCTCTAATCAAACCGTTGCAGCAGCAGCAGCAGCTGCTGCAGCTGCAGCGTGATAATGCGTTTAGATATCTCCCGCTTGTTCCCGATGCGACCTGGAGAACAAGATCCAGAAAAAAAAGATCCGGTGAGTTTCACGACGCGATTATTGATGTGAAAGCAGTGGNAAACAATNGTGTGACAAATAGCAGCGAAACGGAGAAGCAGCGAGATGAAGGTTTGTTCAGTGGGATAATTAACAGGCGAAAGGGAACGTCATTGAACCATATTGTAATCGATAATATTCCGATTGATGTTTCAGATACAACAAAATTAGCATTTC